AGATTCTTATAGTTTAAATGAAGTCAATTAGAGTCTGTTTAAAGGAGTCTAACTGGTATTTTGTATGTGTTAATTCCATTGAATTTTGTGATATTTTCAAAATAGGGTGAACTAAATACGTCATATCTTTTAAGATTAATGAGTGCCMACCAATGTTTTTAATGTTTTGATARCTAGAGAYATAGATCTAATTGGGAAACAGTCATTTTTTAAAAAATCGATGTGCATTTTCAAAATATTGGCTCCAAAACTACACAAATTTTCAATAAATTCAAAATTGGAAATTTTTGTGTTCAGYCATGTGGTTGCTATGGCAACGGATTGACAGATGTTTCCATCTGTATACCTGATATCAGTAACTGAGATGTATATCTTGTATGTCAAGAAGTTTGAGGTTGCTGTGAATAACCGTTACACTTTTATGCTTCTGCAAAGTTGAGGTTAATTTGTGCAATTTTTGTGCTAAAAATGKCCATTTTCCAGGGGGGAACCTAACTTCCCCCCCTTTTGACCGATCTCAAAAAAAATATAGAATGTCAAATAACTTACTAAATGCAATWAGTKYGCCAAGTTTCAGGAGAATCGGCTGACCCCCATGTAGCACCCACTGCCTGGTTTTCTCGTGGACACACTCTTAAAACTGAATTCAAATGAATATCTATTACAAATTGAAACAATTATGTTAGTGAATTTGATTATAGTTTAAAAATGAGAACAATCTGATACTATATTAGGCATGCACAATTACAGTATGAGCATCAACACTAGTTCACGAGTTAACGCTCTTAAAAGAGCATTTTGTTTATTAAAGAATCGAACATTGCTATTTCCGCTGCATTCTATTCCGGTAGGTAAATACAATCGTTTATGAATCGTGCTTTCACAATGGCGCACAGCTCAAGAATGTCCAAATTTCAGTTTTGCATATATTTGCATTACGCACTAAGTTAACTCAAAACACGACAACATGACTATTATTATTCAATGCACGTGCGTACTTGTGTAATAAACGCTACGCCCCTTATAAATCGCCACRTAGTGTCATACTGTATCTATCATAAAGGTTTTAAAGTGAGATTCGCTCTCCTCATTAGCATATCACATGACAGTATGTTAACAGTACAGCCTTGTGGGTAGTATTCTTATATCTAATCATGTTCTGTCTATACTGCTAAAGTGACATTCGCTCTCCTCATTAGCATATCACATGACAGTATGTTGACAGCTGTCTTCATTAACGCAATAGTTTATGAGTAGTGTATACCAATGTTGAAATTATGAAAAAAGCCATTTAAAAAACCTCTTTACTGGTGAGATAACCTTATCTTGTACAAACCGCTTTATTTTTGGAGCGTTTTCGTAGCACCAACCCACTGCAGCTCCTCCACAATGGCCTACAACTGCACCAACTGCACCTCCAACAATTGTTCCAACAGGTCCAAGTGCAGAACCAATAAAAGCGCCTGCAGTTCCAAGAGAAAAGCGGCCAAATGCTTTCGCTGAGTTTTTGACAGTGTTAACATACAATTGGTGTTCTGTTAGAATGTTTTGTTGCACCTTTTGGCGGTCTTCGCGGAAGTTTTAACAACGAGACCTGTTGTATGCAAAAATATCAATAGTCAGTGATATTGGATTAGTATAACGTACAACTTTAGATTGTTCAAAAAAGTTTTAACAGAGACTATTATCTATAATAGTGCTCAATTTTGCATGTACATCAGTTATTTGAAATAAAATGAAGTTAATGACAAGCAAACTAGAAAGAAAAATAAACCTGTTTCAATGAAACACCAATGGCAAATCCAGTACCAGTAAAACTAAGCCGACTGCTTCGCCCAAGAAATTAGGAGCAACTTCTGTCGCTGCCTTAACTCCCTGAAAGGCTCCGCTTCCCACTGCTTTAACAAGTTTAACAGCTTCCCAAGAGGTCTTGTATTGTGGCTTCACTTGCAAGCTAACGTTCAGACCACACTTGCACCAGTTGGCAAAGCTCTCACAGTTGTTGGTAAATAAATTATACCACCTGCCTTCTTTTTCTTTCTCYATTCTGTTTTCAGCACGTGAAACAACTTCATAGTCATCAAATCTTTCCAGTTCCTTTGGCCAAAGTCGCTTTTTGGTCTGTAGTCAAAACAACACAATCAATAACGAGTACATTGAAATAAACATGACTAATATGTCCTTTTTTAATAAATCCAAGAAAGGATTCAATACCAATGAAGATATAATGACCCTGGATAGCCCTTTCTCTCTCACTCTATATCTGGGGGTAGTCTAGAGCATTTAAAGTTAGTCATATAGACTTGACTGCGGTGAAGGCTTATTATAGACGTGCAGAAATTGCTCCTCTTCTGTACTGTAGCAAGCAAGACTACTAAATACAAGCCAAAACTACTAGATACCTTTTTTTCCTTTAGCTCTTGAAACGTTTTATATCCTTTTTGGATTTTGGCAAACGCCAGCGGATTTGAGGAGGAAGATGAACGTGACGATGCTGCCTCACTGGAGTATTGACTGGTATACTCGATCACTTCGATCCCGTCGCTGTGGACACCAACACACACGAAATGGTGCTCGTAAGATTTTCCAAGAAATGATCCTGGGTAGAGCAGATGGTCTCCTATATTCGTTGTTGTACAATTCACAGGTACGTCTTGAAATTTGCCTTCTTTTAAGTACTTTAGCAAAAACTGTCTTTCTTTTTCTTGCGATGCATTTTCCAATTCCCGCCACTTAAACTCAGCCAGTCGCTTTGGCTCATGGATTACATTCCCGTAGTTAACAGGTCGGAAGGCACTTGTATCTTTCAATTTCCCAAGGTCTGTTTTAGTTTTTATTTCATGTCTTCCTGGTCTTGCATGATAAGTTAATGATGTTGATGCTGATGATTTTGGTGAGGTATCTTGTGTTCGGCTAAATGCATCGTCTCCATAATCAGCAAACGAATTCTTTCCGGATTGAGATATACTATAATTACTTCCATAACCTTTTTTTGGCCTTGTTTGTACTACGCCTTCGTTTGAATGCTCACGTCTGGCCTTGGAATAAAAGCCGTCCAAAAAACCATTCGTATCTTTCACACCCAAGTGTTGTATCCCATCTTCTTCATCGAGAAAGTAAGTTTCTCTAATCTTGTGGGATGTGCGCCTTCCATAATCATTTTTAGTACTTGATCGTACTGCCCCTTCGCCTGAAAACTGCTTTCTTGCCATCGAGTGTGATGTCCCATTTTCGCTTAAGCAGTCTGTGTTGGCCATGCGGTCGTTGAAACGATCGCTTCGATACTGTCGCGAGTAATAAGCTGTAGGCATGATAAAACTTTGCGAACTATACCAGTAAATTCAGCTTCTTAAATCGACAAAAACAACTAGCTCAAAATATTGACTGGTTGATCTGTAGCGCTCGAGGATTACCACTCACTCTCAAAATAGAAAATCCTAATGGAATTTAATGACGTTAGTCACCTTCCATATAAGGCGAGGTCAGTCAATGTATTCAAATCAAAGGTTGCCAGCAGTGAATAAATGACTACATAAAATGTCTATGCCTGTAGCAAATTAAAGACGATTTCTAATCAAAAATGTAACTATATACTGAAGATATATACTGTGTTACTTTTTACCAGATCGAGGCAAAAGAATAATAGGATTGATTACATCCTTTGGTAAAACTGAATAAAAATATAAAGTATCAGTGTTAAAAAAAGGTGGCGAAAGGTTGTCAAGGAAACATGATAAACAGTAAACCAAATATTTACCTTCTACAGTTTCGTATCACAATGGAAAGCGCTCAAATTCTGTGGATTCAGTAAAGCGCTCTCGCRAATTTTGAGCTAAATAATACGCGAAAGAGATGCAAACTAACTGTAATTGGTCGTATGCACAATTTCTACGGTTTTCGATCGTTAAAAGCCATTATGCAAGGATTATGAGTTGATAACCATGTTACAGAAATTTCTAAGGGGAGCCCCCCAACATTCTTCAATCATATCATCATGACCCTTCTGAGTATAGCATGTAATTTTTAATGTGAAAATATTTGCTTGACGTCACAAAAAGAGCATTGCTGCTATAAAGCCATGAGGTTGATCTATCTAAATTATTTCCTACAGAAAAGTCTTTTATTCATTATAATAAATTTATGCCAGATAGGCTTTGGTTTAAACGACTTTTTGGATTATACTTTTAAAATCCGTTCAATATAGTTTGTCATTTGATCTATTTCGGTAAACCTTGAATACTGAATTCTGCATAGTGCATTCCAGTGCATTTTTGGTTGTTCTATCGATCGCCATTGTAATTCCCTTCATTTAAAAACTATGAACTATATCTTAAATGGAAGGTAATTAACTTTATTAACTTTAGGATTGTCAGTGTATGCACTGAGCAGGCATTGGTGGTTCCTAAAAAATAACCCATCGGTGGACAAGCTCTTCTTTTTTTGTCAAACCAATGATAGATAGGTAATTGTATTCAAAATTGTATTGGAAGTAATACGTATAGTTTACAAAATACTATTATAAAAAAATATATATTATATATCAATGCCATGTCATGTCCGCTTTATGATACAAGATTTACAAMAATATAACATATATAAATCGTGAATTGAATTTCATGCACAGTCTCATCTTGCATTCTGGAGACTATATATAATTTATAGTAGGGCCTACACGGTCCAGTAATTTGTACATATTCTGCCCATAAAAATAAAGAATACCAACGTCAGGGTTTTTTCGCAGGAATACCAGCTTCCTTATTCACAGTCCCAATCAACATTTTTCGCGGCCATGTTTGGAACCCTCAGCTGTGTGCAGACTGCTTAATTTCTTCTCCTCGTCTTCGCCTCTTCTCTAACCTCCTCCAGACAGTGTCCTACAAATGCGCCTAGTACCCCTCCACTAACGTATGAAATTGGTCCCAAGGGAGACATGACAATCGCTCCTACTAATTCGGCTGCTTTAGCAGCTTCCCAACCGTGTTCGTGCCAGGGGCTCGCTTGAAAACTGACGTTCAGGCCACACTTACACCAGTTGACAATTAAGCTTTCGCAGTTGTTGTACAAGATGTTGTACTGTCCAGTCTCTTCTGTTCTCAGTCTGTACTTGGCACGATTGATAACTTCATTAGCTGAAAACCGTTGCTCTAACCAGACTCTCTTCTTAGCCTAATACCGAGAAGAATGTAAAAGAAATAAAAATAAAATGAATGGTTGTAAATTAAAGAAATGAAAGCATGTAAACTAGAAAAAAAAAGGAAATTGTTAAATATCAGTAATCCATATGATAAGAGGTGTTCGAGTAAACTGGTGAAATGATCCGTTGTTCTTATAGAGCGGATTTCGGAGATTTCGTTTGAATTTGCAAAGTCACGGGTACAACATACCCTCTCACAGTTTAACGATTTCGTTAAATTTAAAAAGCAAAGACAAAAATACGATAAATACTAAAAAAAGCATCTATAAAAGAAGCAGAAAACCTCTGGCAAGAGTACCCAACGACACCGCTCCACAAAATAACCGGTCCACATCCWATTTTTTTACTGGCTGGCAAATTGAATTTTCATGTTCCTGGCTGGGAGATTTTAGACTTAAAGTGCACTGCTGGACCAGATAGTTCAGTGCTGGCTGGGAATTTTCAATTTGTATACCTAACTGGGACATCAAATTACGGGGATATTAATAGACTTTGCTGGGAGCTATTTTTGCTTGTTTGATTAATAAAGCATGTATGTTGACATTTGATGTGATATATAAACCTTTGACAGTTGCCATGCCTACTGAGAATTTTACCTGGATTCTCTGAATTTGAGTGGTACTTGGTAACCTTACTGACCTCTCGGTTAAATACGTTGTTCAAGCAGTTTCGAATTAAGGCGCCTTTTCTTTAAACAAATTCATGCAGTATACAACATTCTTCAACCACTCAAAGTATAATTCTGTTCAAGAGTGATTTTAATCGATCAAGTGTTTCTATTTATCCGACTTGGAGGTCATTTGTTTGTGTGGAAGCCATAAGCGCGCAATTTTCAGTTGAAATAGTCTCAAGTATCATGGGTCTCAAGACTGTGAACGCCGAGGTTTTCTTTCAATCTATCTGTGGTCAGTAAACGATGATTGCTTTCACTTTAAACAGTTGGAACTGATTTCCCTTCAGCGATTACAACCTTCAATACGGTAAGCTACATTACTATAGTATACTTGTGAGAGTTAACCCCCAGTTACCGTTACTTCCAAAGACCGGCTGTTTGCGTCCAACCTTATTTGATTTCCATGCAAATTGAAGGTAAGATCATTACGTTGATTTACTTATAATATTATCATTTTAAATAAGAATATTCATTAAATTTCACTATTTTTTTATTTTTGTTCGTTTGGCCCTTGTGTTATACGCCAACCTTTTGTTGAAAGCATGAGTATTTTCCTTTCCATTATTGTTGTATTTTCGATATAGCTTCGATAAGCACGTATTTGTACTTTTTGTCGACTTTTATTAAATTGTACTTGTTTCGCCAATCCAACACAGATTTTTAAAAATTCTGTCTATAAGTTCTTTTATTGTCCACGTGATCAATACCTGGACC